CAACTATAAAAGATTTTAAGTTCTATTACATTGACAAATTTGAAACTACAGATGGAAAGGAATTATAATAAGAATACAATGAATAAGCTAGGGTAAAATAAACAACAACTGCTAAAGTATACGATCGAATAAATGAGGATCCCGATGATTGAGTCAATTACTGGCTAGCAATATTTATTTGATAATGTTACTAATGATATGGTTATGTGCTTTTTTCATAATATGAAAACTCATCAAGGACAGTTGCAGTTTTTTTATTAAAAAAATGTTAATTATGCAGTGATACCGCTTTCCATAAATCATGGATCCGCACCTGATATATATGCTGAAGGATATTCAGCTTGCAAGGAGGATTAGAGGCGTGAAGGCTTAGGGATTTGATTGTATCTTAATGATCTTCATTAAATGTTGTTTACATTTAGTCTTTATGTTGGGATTTTGATGTGTTTGGGATTGTGGAATGAAATTGAGTAGTTTTGGTTTGTTTGTTTGGTTACTAATATGCCTGTAGGTTAGAAATTTTATTAAACTGATATATTTATGTTAATGATATTATTTGATATGTGTTGTTATCTTGTTACGGAACGAAATTTTAAGCAATATTATAATGACATTATTTTATCTAATAGTGTTGATGAAACCCTTTATCAGTTTTGAGTTAATTTGAATTTCGTGGTTCTTATTTTGAAGCTCCTGCTATTTTCATTTTTGTAAGGGGGTTTTGGCGAGTAGACTAGCTTGACAACAATCCAACAACAACAAATTGGTAGAACAGTGTTACTTTTGAAGCTCCTTGGTTTTGTCAAGTCTTACTACAGTTGTGGCCTCTGTCGAGCTTCAGTTCTTGCTATTTCTACATATTTTTGTCTACCTACAAAACAATTGGTAGAACAGTGTGGCGAATTTTAGTGCTGGACAGATTTGTAACCTTTCTACTTGCGCAGAAGCACAAAGTATGAATTTGTTTTATCTCATGCATTCATTTAAATTCAACAAATCATAATGGCACTTGAGCCTTTTCAGATTCTCATTTTCTCTTGACAGACTAAAGTCTTGGATATAATTGAATATTATTTTGGCGAGTGTTAAACTGGACGAGAGAAAGAGGCAGGATTCTCTTTCTGTGTTGAGTGATTTTATTATGAAGTCTCATTTTGCATGGTGGTTTTGTTTTCTACTCACTTTTGAACCATACTTGCCTACTGCTGATAACAACCCTCCAGATCTTGCAGAACACTTTGTTAGGGGTGATAACTGATAAGGTCCTGGCAGGTTTGCCTATGTGTAAACTATTATTGGTCAGGTTTGCTTATGTATAAACTATTATGGTCCTGCAGCTATTCCCTATACTATCTAATGTTTTAGTTCTCAGATGTTGTCTTCTTGTATCCATTTTGCCTACCAAGTTCAATTTGGGTTTTATTTCCTCCAAAGCTATGTTCCCTGGTGTTTCTTCAAAGATATACAAAAGCATTATCCACTCTCCAAAGATCTTCCCTCCTTGATAAGTCATGGTAAAAGTTTCAGGAGAGTGGCAGTTCTGAGCATTGTAACTTTGTAAGTACCCTTTGTAATGTCTGATCATGTATAAGAACTACCATTAAACGTCCAAACATTTTGTAGGCATCTATAAAAGTAGCTTACCAGAACATGGCTGTATATAAATTAAAAGGTAATGATCTACATGATCAGTATTGTTTTTTTATTCACATTTCACGAGAGTCAAGTTCTATAACATTTTAATGTTTCTTTTATTATGTATTAATAATTGAGAGTTTTAAAATAAAACATAAATTATGTAATGAGTGCACGTCCGATTAAATGTATGCATAGATTCAAGGAGTGTCCGAGTGTCGGGTACGGGTATGGGAAGTGTTGGGTACGAGTACAGCTTCATGATAGAAGTGTCCATGCAACATAGGTAGGCGCTGGGTATGGGAAGTGTTGGGTACGAGTACAGCTTCATGATAGAAGTGTCCATGCAACATAGGTAGGCGCTGAAGTACAGCAACTATATGTTGATCCTATGCTTTGAGCACAGCACATAGTTTATATAGGTTGATGGCTATGTGCTACAAGCACCAAAGGTTTGCTTGTATCCTTTTGGTTTACGCATTATTTTTGAAGATGCTTATGACAAGGTGTTATTTTGCAGTACTGCATAGTTCCCTCTTGCTGACCGTCTTTCTTTCTTCTTTTGATGCAGTTGAAACTTGGCAGTGAGGAAGATTTTATGCGAAGGAATGGGAGGTGGCTTTTCAATTACGAGGTTCTATATCAAAATCTTTTGTTGAGGTTTCTTTCTTAAAAGTAGAGTTTTCTTTTGTTTTGCAGAAACTTTTGATGGCTATGTAGATAAGTGGGCTGTTGTGAATTTTTGGTCCTTGCAATACGAGAAATATTGTGTGTGATCTTATCAAATGTGGGAATATGAACGGAATGGTTGCGCTATTCTCTTGGGTAATTGTCATGTAACACCCTCAACGTTTGACTACGTATTAGAAAATTTTGATTATGCATCCCTTGTTTTTAGTTGGCTTCTAAGCTTTTGTAAAACACTCTTTTCTTCTTAAATTTCTGGCAGTCAGAACATGTGAATGGTGGGCAACAGTGAGCTTCTTTGCCGCATTGTCAAATTTGAGTTCGTTCTCCCCAGATTATGCTCAACAACTCTTAACATCTTTTGGTGCAGCGATGGTTATTGGTCGGTAACCTGATCCCTAATAAGAAAGAGATGAGTCCCAAAACATCTTTTGGTGCAGCGATGGTTATTGGTCGGTAACCTGATCCCTAATAAGAAAGAGATGAGTCCCAAAGGGGAGATTCTAAGAGGTGAAGGTTCTGGTCGGTAACCTGATCCCTAATAAGAAAGAGATGAGTCCCAAAGGGGAGATTCTAAGAGGTGAAGGTTCGCTTTCTTACTTTTTTCTGGGATTTTCTTAGTTACATAATGACTTTAATTTATCAATCTTGGTGTGATTAAGTGTCTTAGATTGCTTGTTGATGTCTACGACTCCCCATAGGTTTGAGTTCGTGGTTCTTTAATTGAAATCTCATTGAATTCTTGATAGTTCCTATTTGTAAATTTAAAATTGGTTCTCGTTTTTTCTTTGATCGATCCCATTATAAGTTACTCTTTGTTGAGTGCTCATTCATCAAAATGATAAAACTAAGAATAAATTGAAAAAAAAATGTGGACTACCCATTTATATCTTCGTGGAGATTTATATGATTTTGATGAGTTCATAGTGCCTTCTTGATCACAGATAGGAGTAAATACTCAGTGGCAACTTTATGATTCTTGACAGAAATTACTTTTCTTTAAAAAGTCTTTGTTTGGTTCATTTGACCGCATGTGCTTAGGTCTTTTAGATTGTTTTATACGTCTTCAACCTATGAAAATCTCAAACTTTGAAGTACGCGCACTTAATTGCCATTGGACCGAAAAACAAAAACGGACAAAAATCATGGGTTGTAACTTCAAAATCATAAATTTTGAAGTACACATACTTAATTGCTATTGGGTTAAAAAGAACAAAAACGCACAAAAAAAATCTAACCAGAAAAATTGCAAAATTTGAAGTACAGACACTTGGTTCCAATTGGGTCAAGAAGAAAAAAATAGACAAAAATTATAGGTTATATAACCTATGAGAAACACTAATTTTAAAGTATGCGTGCTTAATTGTCATTGGCTGAAAAATGACAAAAAATAGACCATTTTTTTGAAATTGCAAACTTTGCAGTACGTAAACTTATATGCAATTGGGTCAAAACTGACAAAAACGAAAAAAACCTATGGGTTATATAGCCCATGAAAATCCTAATGTTTGAAGTATGCATACTTAATTGCTATTGGGTCGAAATGAACAAAATTAGACAAAATGAAAATCCTAATGTTTGAAGTATGCATACTTAATTGCTATTGGGTCGAAATGAACAAAATTAGACAAAACTTGAGAATTATGGCTCATGAAGACCGCAACTTTGAGGGACACACACTTAGTTGCTATTGGGTCAAAACAAATAAAAATAGACAAAAACTATGTTATAACCCATAAAAATAACGATTTTTAAGTCATGTATTTAATTGCATCACAAACAAAAATCATAAGTTAGTTTATTAAATTCGTGAAACTTGAAATATGCTTACTTTATTGCAATTGAGTAAAAATGAACAAAAATGATAAAAATCGTGCGTTATATATATAACCCATGAAATTTGTGAAATTTGTAGTATGCGTACTTAATTGTAGTTGGGTCCAAACTTACGAAAATTGTGTATTTTAACCTATCAAAATCACAAACTTTAATTACGCGTACATTATTGTCATTAGATCGAATCAAACAAAAATGAACAAAATTTATGGGTTATAATCATAAAAACCGTGAAATATGAAGTATGCATACTTATTTGCAATTAAGTCAAACCAGAACAAAAATGGATGAAATCATGAGTTATAGCCTATGAAATTGTAATGTTTGAAACAAGGTTATCGATAGCGGATAGCGTCGCGTAGCGGTGAGGCATCGCTAAGGCTATTTCTGGCTATTGCAGCAAAATAGCGTTAAAAAGCGCAAAGTCAATAGCGGTCTAATTTAGATATGTATAAATACTAAAAAAAGTAAAGAAAATTTTTAAAAATCTAAAATATATATTGGATGATTTAAAGAGATCCTAAATATGAAATAGACATGTAACCATCACGTAATACCGAAGATGACAGGAGGAGTTAAAAAGTCGTCGCCTTCGAAAAGAAGAGCTTAGCGGTGACAGGACTATCCTAAGAGGAGCTCACAGTGAAGGAGGTGAGAGAAAGTATTAAGGTAGGTGCCAAAATCTATGAGAGGTGACGGGAGCATGCTGAAAATCACAAGAGACGGTGGAATGCAATGGTCAAGGGTTGAGTTTAATTTTTAAAAAATAAGCCTCAAACCGCTTTTAAATAGAAGTTAAAAAGAAAATTTCAAATGCAATCGCTAACTATTTACCGTTATGACACACTATTGGTCGCTTTTACGAATAGATAAATTCTGTAATATATCACTGCTATTGCGTGATAGTGTAACGAGCGATAGCGTCACGGGAAGGGACCGCTAACGCTATTAGCGTCACTATTGCGGGGCTATTTACCGCTATTTATAACAATGGTTTGAAATATGTGTGCTTAATTGTCATCGGATAAAAAACGAATAAAATTGTGAATTATAACCAATGAATATCATGAAATTTGAAAAACACTAACTCAAATAATTTGGGTCGAAACAATAATAAAAGAAAAAATCGTGCATTATAGCCCATGAACATCGTGAATTACGTATGTGTACTTTATTGCAATTTGGGTCAAAACAAACTGAAACCATAAACATCGCAAATTATTAAGAATGCGTATGTAATTGCTATTTGTTTGAAATGAACAAAAACAGAATTGTGGGTAAACCCATGAAATCGTAAAGTTTAAGGTACATCTACTTAATGACCATTAGGTTGAATCAAAGAACCATGGACCGTTATTGTGGGTTGTAGCATATGAAAACCGCGGATTTTGAAGTAAGCATACGTAATTGCCGTCGAATGGAACAAAAATGGACGAAAATCGTGTGTTACACATGAAAATAACGAAATTAATGTACGTGTACCTAATTTTTATATGGTCGAAAAGTGAATAAAAACAGACAAAATCGTAGGTTATAGCTCATAAAAATTGTTAATTTCAAAGTAAGTTAACTTAATTGTTAGTTTGCGGTTAGGTCGAAATCGAACAAAGCCCATGAACATCGAGAATTTTTAAATATGCATATATACTTAATTGCCAATAGGTCGAAATGAACAAAAATAAACAAAAATCGTGAATGATAATCCATAAAAATTGTGAATATTATAGTATGTATACTTAATTACTATTGAGTTGAAGCAAACAAAAAAGTAGACAAAGACACTGTGTTATAGCCTAGAAAAAGCATGATTTCTCAAGTACGTGTACTTAGTTGTAATGAGGTTAAAACGAACAAAATTTAAGTTGGGCAAAAAAAATTGTAGCTCTTTTGGTTTATTGCTTTTTGGTCAAATAAAGTAATGGACAAAACTTGTGGGCCATAACCTATGAAATGATGAAAATCACGGATTTTGGAGTACCCCTACATAAATACCATGACGGAAAAAAGGGCAAAAATTTATAACTCATGCAAATTACAAATTTTAAAGTATGTGTACAAAGTTGTTATTGGATCACAACAAATGAAATTACAATGAATATGTGGGTAATAACTCATAAAAATGTGAATTTTGAAATATACATTTAATTACTATGGGGTCAAAGAGAACGAAAGTGGATAAACATATTCGGTTATAACCCATTGATATATAATTTTAAAGAAAATGTACTTAATTTGCATTTGAAGAACTCATACTTAATTGCATTTGGTTCCAAACAAACAAAAAATCGTATGTTATAACTCCTGAAAATCATGAACTTAATTTGCATGCGCTAAATTGTTATTGGATAGAAACAAACAAAAATGGACAAAATTTGTGGGTTATAGCCTAGGTTAGTCACACGTGGCATTTTTAATGTTGTGCCCGTGTCAAACACGTGTTAAACATAGATTCTCAGTGGACACAACATAAATGAATGTGATTCAAAGTAAAACCCGATTTTTCCATTATGTATACTCTAAACGGTTTCTTTGGTAATGTTGGGTTCAAAACCAATCTGTTTGAAAACTAAAACTCATCACTCAGATATTTAAAAAGTACCCATCATATTATATCCCATGCTATCAAAACTAAACTTTTGAAGTTAAAGCTTATTCTTAGTTTGATTTAACTTGATTCTTAAAGATAATTGAAAGAAACATACAAATATTATAAGTATTATATTTTCATATTTGATCTAATATATATAGTTGTGTCCCTGTATCCTACATTTTATAAATTTGATATGTTCGGTGTCTGCACTCCGCACCTGTAATCATGCTATCTAGGTTATAATCCATGAAAATCTGTGAAGTATGAAGTGTATGTACTTATTTGTAATTGGGTCAAACCATAATAAAATGGACAAAAGTCAGTATATAACCCATACAAATTGTGAATTTTCAAGGATGTATGCTTAATTTGAAACTTGACGAAATGAGGAAAAAATTAAAAAAAGAAATTATGAGTTATAGTTCAAGAAAATCACAAAGTTTTGAAGTATTTATACTTAATTCCCATGGGATCGAAAAGAACTAAAATGGACAAAAATTGCGAATTATAGCTCATAAAAATCTTAAAATTTAAAGTATGCGTATTTAGTTGCTACTATTGGGTCCGAACAAATATAAAAGTTGTGGGTTACCCATGAAAATTGTGAAACTTTAAGTATCTATACTTCATTGTAATTAGAATTAGCTCAAAGAGAAAACACCAAAATTTTAGGTCATGGCCGAGGAAAATCACGAATTTGAATGTATGTGTACTTAGTTGAACAAAAATAGGAAAAATTGTGAGTTAACACATGAAAATTGTGAATTATGAAGTATGCATGCTCAAGGTTTTAAATATCGGCCGACATGTCCGACATGTCGGCCGACATATCGGTTTGATGGCTTGACCGACACGACATGGACGTTTTCAACTCGTATATCGGTTTTCAGGGCCAAATCGGAAATATCAGGGTCATATCGGGCATATCAGCCTATTTTTTAGCTTTGAAAAATCGACTGATATGGTACTTTTTTTTAGATCTGTTTTTTGTT